TGTGTGTGTGTTTGTGTGTGTGTGTGTGTGTGTGTTTGTTTTTGTTTGTGTATGTGTGTGCGTCTGTGCGTGACTATATTAAAATGTGTTCTTGTGTTACGTGTGTGATTATATAAAAGCGTATATATGTTCGCGTGCGTATGTGTGTAGGCGTGTGCGTGCGTGCATTAGTGTGTAAAGGAGAGAAGGTATTCTCTCTTCAAGTTTGAATCAGCCAATCCTTTTCCAATAGCCTAGTCATAGAACTCGTCACTGTCTTGGAGCTGAAAAACCAGCCCAGTCCACTGTCGCCATTTGACGTGGCCCGTTCCGCGACAGTGAACTCAGCTCGCGCAGCTGCGCAGGTGGTTTGAAAGGTCAAGGTAGGCCTATAAATGATGGGCGCGCATCTATTTTCGCGCACTTTTACATCTCAGCTCGACACGTAAAGTCGCATTGAGATTAAAATTAGCAACTCGCTTCTCGCCTTTTTCCGTACCTCTACAATATTTCAAACGTTCCAACATGGTGAGTACATCACAAAAGACATATTTTCTTTTCAATCTTTGGCTATAAGCCTTACTAAGTTTGTTCGTAGAGAAAGAAAGTCCCGCCTCTCACCTACCGCTAGTAGCTTCTCTTGTCTCTTTCGCTGTCGCCATTTTCCCCCTTTAGATTCTAAGTGGATGTCGGAAAACGGGCGACTTAGATCTGACAAGGCAGACGTTATTTCAAGTAAAATCTCAGTGAAAGCTTTGCCAGGCAATGCATCCTGTGAAAATGCCATTGAAACATAGTGAAGATAGTCATAAATGTGAATGATCTAATCTAGATCTAGATCTAGAAGTAAAAGTATAGTCTGCTAGAATAGAAAATAGGGTATTTTTTAAACTTTCCCTCCCGTCTCACACTCACTCAGCTACCAGATGCCTATTTTCTACTAAATATTGATGCGCTGAACACGAATATCAACATCATTTCCGTCGCAAATTAATAGTTTTTGAAATATTTGATTGTTTTTAACCGAGATAGACATGCTTTGGACCAATGGGGGGGTTCCAGGGGGGCTTGCCCCACTGGGGTAAAAGAAAATCTGGGGGGTTACAGGGGGGCATGCCCCCCTGTTTTTACCCATAATTTGATATTTTACAGTTAGATTTGAAATTGTCTTGAAAATAATTGATTTGCGACAGTTTTAGCACTGTTTTATGTGTGATCTGCAGCAAACAGTACAGCAGTTTGACCCCTGAAACAGTGCATCTGTGTGCGGGAGTGAAAGTAAAAATTTACCGAAAATAGAATGAGGACCACGGAGGAACGAGGAACGCGGTAGTCTTGTCAAGAGTCTTGTCGCTCATTCATTGTACTTTGTCTGTCAGTTGACAGTTGATGCCACAGCTACATCTTCCCCCAACCCACGCCCCACAGTAGCCTAATAGTCTTCTCCCCAAGGCCCCCCCCCTAGATCTAGATCTAGACCTAGATCTAGATCTAGATCTAGATCTATCTTCCAGATTATTTTATGCATTTTTAAAGAATTTCGGTCATGTTGCTGTTGGTTGGAGTTGGGTTCAGTTGTTTGGCTAACCCTACTCCAACCTTAACCCTGTGCTTAGGCTAACTTATTAAATACGACAAAAATGTATAAAAACATGTGTCATGTCATGTAGCCTTCATGTATGAAGTATGCAGGTGGAAGACTTCCCAGAGGTCAACAGTCAACATGGAGGTCATTTTCATTTGAAAATTTGATCAACAGACTTTTACTTTTACTGTGTGCATCAATTTATTTTTATAGTGAAGGCAAAGGTATATATAACGAACGTGAGTGCAATTGCATTATTTTATCCTCCACAGCGTGAGTGTATCTCTATCCATGTCGGACAAGCTGGTGTCCAGATGGGCAATGCCTGTTGGGAACTGTATTGCCTGGAACACGGCATTCAGGTAAATGATTGTAAATTAAAACATCAGCTTAGCACAGATAAAGGAAGAAATTATTGCAATTGATGGTTCCTACTGTGATATAATTATTAATATTATTGCGCTTAGGGATCATTTTGAAAATGTTTCTCTTTTAAATTGATTCTGTTACCTGTCAAAGGGCATGAAATTAGTTTCTAACTTTTTAAGCCATTTTGGAAATGGTACAGTGTATGTTTGACCTGTTTTAATCAAAACTGAGGTTATTTTGAACTGAAAAGGATACATTTAATTTATTAAAATATCCATTAATTACCATTAATAAAACTTAATTAATGATGTTATTCATTCCTTCCTGGAATCTAATCGAATGTGCTAAGCAATGATTGCCATTCACTGTCAAAGCATGAGATTGTTTATAATTTTTAGTTTCCATTTCTTCAGTGGCGGTGGGTGGACCAAGATTTGGGTGGGGCTTAGGTTTCTTCCACTTCTTTATCACCAAAAAGCAAGCAATAAGAATAAGAACAAAACAGTGATGATTTTGCTATACTCACTGCCAGCCACTGCATTTTGAGCACCATTCAAACGAGAAGAGTCACCTTTGTCTTCCATCTCTTTGTTCTTAGTTAAAGTTAAGCTCTTCTGAATGGTGGTGACGAAGCCGTTTCACCTCCAAATTTCTCTAATTAGTTTTTATCTGAAGAAAAAGTTGCCTCAAAAGTGGTTTGATGTAATTAATAACTTAAATCTCAGCGGCACAAACACACAGGACTCCAAACACATACCGTCTATGAGGTGGATAGGGTCGTGTTGTTGCGGAAAATAGAACGCGTCTGACAAAGGCCCTATGGGCGCATAGGTATCTGTGTCACTACTGTCACTGGGGGAAAGTGTGTCGTAAACTTTCACCCCATTGTCAGGGCTGGGAGAGCGTGAGCCTTCTGTGCAGTGTAATTTTGTAAGTGTTCTACCTTTTAACGAGAAGAGTTTCATTAAAGACGGGCGCGGGAACCGGCTTATTCTTTCTGAGCCCTAACGACATTTGATTGGCTGTTAGGTTACTCTAGTTGTAAGTGGTGACAACAATGATTGGATAAACGGGCAAGCCGCCAAGCTGATAACTGTTTTCATTGCGTGCGATCATGACGGTTTCAACTGCTTATTTCGTTATTTAAGAAACTTTCATTAACTAAGGGATAGGGTTGGGGCGGGGGTGAGGGGCTCAAGCCCGTAAGCCCTTCACTACCCACCGCCACTGCATTTCTTAATCATAGGGTGTAATGATAATGACAGCCTTTTTGTCTTGTAAAACATGACATGTTATAATTATAATAATAGATTTCATTTTTAAAGCGCTCTATCCCATACTCGTATAAGCTCTGAGTGCTTTGTACACTTCTATCTCATGATTATTCACACAAGAGAAAATTTTTCACAGAAACAAGAAAAGCCAATTCAACCACATGAAGAACTTTCACAACCGTACAATGTACGAAAAGACAGCAGTCAAAAACAAATATCAGCACTTACTGACACACTATAACTAAGAATTATGTTAGATTAATAAGCACCTAAAAAGAATGACTAAAATGCAAATTTTAACTTAGTTTCAAGATCTCAGTCTAACTCAAACAAAATAAAAAGTAATCTTAAAAATGCGTTTTTATTTTACAAATGGATTGCCCATAAAATTTCTCTTAACTGTGACTTTGCAGGTCGATGTGCTTTCTTGCACTTGGCCCTCTCCCCCCCCCCCCCCAAATAAAATGAATTGTCAGTGATGCTGTGAAACATTCTCAAACAATTCATCCTCTCACCACAGCCTGATGGCCAGATGCCCTCAGACAAGACAGTTGGAGGAGGTGATGACTCCTTCAACACCTTTTTCAGTGAGACTGGAGCAGGCAAGCACGTGCCGAGAGCAGTGTTTGTTGACCTTGAACCAACAGTTGTGGGTATGTGTATAAAAAATTAGAATTGCTCTGGTGTGGTTTGCTTCTTCTTTCCTATCAAACATCTATCGTCCTTATCTCCCCTCCTTTTTTATGTTTGTTACTCTCTTGTAACACCTCTAATCCTCTGGCGCTCCAATGACCTTATGAAGTTGCGAGCGTCGTAAAACCTCTACTAAAACAAACAAACACTTAGGTCTCTTGCCGATACCAGCGTTTGTGATGTTACAATTAAGATTTTCGCTGTTGCAGGCATTGAGTTCGGTACCTGAGTGGGGATGGTTTGTTTAATGAGGTATTTCTGTGCGTCTGCTGGGATGTTTATCTCTTTCTGGCACGGTTGAAGCAGCGAGACTCCTAATTATGTTTAGGGGGATGGTAAACACATTTATATATTTTTTTTTCTCTCTCAAGCAAAACAAGACCAGTAAAATCTTTGATATACATATGTATTCCCCGCAGACTTTTTGTTTATGAACATAGTTATGGTAATTGGTGGTGAAATGATCAAAACTGAGCTCATAGCGCGGTAAAACACCTACTAAATCAAGCAAGCACAATTGATTAAGATAAGATTTGAAGGTACCTTACCAAGAGGGCAGAGTCGCACATTTCCAATTAACCCGGAACTGGAAGTGGAAAAGAATCGTTATGTCCATGATTTTTATCAAATAAGGAAGACAATCTGGCAGTAAAGATATACTTGCTGATTTGAAGTGTTGATACCAGTGTTTGTTTGGTGAAGAGGTTAAAAAGCTCTTTGTTGTAAGATATGGAAGATGGGAGTTACATTCCCTAAAAAGGAAGTTAAAAAAAAAAATCAAGTATCTTCTCTGTCTCTTAGAATGTCATATCCTCTCATCCAGCCCTCCACCTAAATGATTGAAATATGCTGGTGAGGGGAGTAAAATGGTTATTGTAACTGTTGATATATTCTGAATTTTCTTTTTAATCATCCCTTCAGATGAGGTTCGTACTGGCACATATCGTCAGCTGTTCCACCCAGAGCAACTGATTACAGGCAAAGAAGATGCTGCCAACAATTATGCCCGTGGTCACTACACTGTGGGCAAGGAGCTAATTGACATGGTGCTGGATCGCATCCGCAAACTTGCCGACCAGTGCACAGGCCTCCAGGGCTTCCTCATTTTCCACAGGTACTGTATGGAGAAGTTCATTGTTGTGTGACATAAGTCCCAATTCCCAATTTTTAAAAACTGTTAGGCACATTCTGGAAGAGTTGATTTTACTGATGCGTATGTCAATAAATATTTTGAATTTTCAGAGATCATGTAAGAACGGTTTTTGATGTTGCTGAACCTTGATTTGTATCAAGGAAATTGATTTGGTTTGAAAAATATATAATTTCAACATGTATATTTTGCTATACAATTGTGAATAAGAGTAAAAAAACCCAATGCTTTCTATATATTTACTGAAAATTTTATAAATATTTGTCTTTGTAAATCAGTAGACTAGTGATTGATAAAAGATCAGTTTTTGGCACTTACAAGACCAAATTGTGTTGATATTGCCATAAAACAGACTCTATCACAATCACAGGTAATGCTTTGGTTATTTTTTTGTGGTTTAAGTAAGTTTGACCTAATTTTGTCCATAGTTTCATAAAACATAAGACTCGATCAATAAAGCTTTGAGTCTGTCAGCTTCTAATTTATTTTTGTTTTGACATGGATCATGCAATAGAGCCATGGGATGGAAATTTTCTGCTCACACTGGTGGCCTTTCGGAGCCCCCCCATTGAAGAACTGTTAGACATTCCATCGAATTTGAATAAAATTTAAGATTTTTGTCTTGAATTAAATTTTCATCAGTCATGCGCTACATTTGATAAATGATGTGGAAATACACATTTTTAGGTGTGTTTATTTACTACATGTTTATTTTTTACTTTTGGTTTGTAAAATTGTCTTAATCTACTGAGGTTCTGGAAACTCAAATCCCCCATTCTAATTTTTAGGGAGAATTTGGAGGAAAATTCCTAGTTTTGGTGAGTGGTTGGGTGGTTAGCAGGTCTGCTCTCTCATCTCAAAGGCTATTCTTATTGCTGGTCGCAGGTGGTTGGAGGGTGCTCCTGGTTGGTCCTACTCCTACTTTTTTATTTTTATCCCTCTGTCTTGCTTTTTTTCTGCACGAATCGACTGTTATTGTGCGGGGTTTGTTTTTTTCGTTACTCAAATTCAGACCAGGCTACTCTCATCACTGGTCCCTTGTGTGAATACCTGATTTCTGGATTTATTCTGAAAATTGTCTCAGTGATTACCAGCTAGGGGCTTGAGAAAAGCCTCCAAGTTTACATCCATGATCATGATAATTATTGCTGGAAGCAGATTTTGCATTGTTTTTATGGTTCTTCTTCCAGTTTTGGCGGTGGCACTGGGTCGGGCTTCACTTCCCTTCTCATGGAGAGGCTCTCTGTGGATTATGGCAAGAAGTCCAAACTGGAGTTTTCTGTCTATCCAGCCCCTCAGGTGAGTTACCAACCAAAGTGTTTAGGAAATAGTTCTCACTGTTGCCTCTCTGTCGTAATTGTGTTGATAGCGCTTTTAAACACATCAGTGACTTATAGCTAGTGGGGGGGAAGGTATGAAGTTTATAAACAGCTATCAAGCAAAAATTGTTTGGGTGGCAGCAACGGTTAAAAAAAATTCCAGCAGATAGTCTTCCCAGCGCACACCCATTTTTGGATAGAACGTTTTTTGCCTGGCTATGCTTTCTTCTGTGTGCAAGCTAGTATTTGTGGCTATAAAGAAAGCTATATCATTGAAACCCCCACCCCTCAAAACTAACCTGTAATATGGTCCACTGATAATGTAGTAAAGTAACTGTTTAGTCCATATAATTGTGTGCCAAAACATCATGCAGTTGAAGCTTTCTGATGACGTTCTATCTAGTCTGATACTGTCAGTCCTATCCACCCAATAGTCTATCTGTCAATTTCAATGTTTGCTAAAACGGACCGGAAAGGTGCTCTGGGTGTGAATCTCACTCAGCTAAATTCTCGATTGCACTGTAAAAAAATACTCAAATTTGACAAATTTGTAGGGTGGTCTGCTGATTGTTATCCTAAGAAATGTTTTTTTATTTATATTTTTCCGCTTGTAGGCTCATGTAATGTTTTTTTGTTTGTTCTCCCTTTAGGTTTCCACAGCTGTGGTAGAGCCATACAACTCAATCCTCACCACTCACACCACTCTGGAGCACTCTGACTGTGCCTTTATGGTTGACAACGAGGCTATTTATGACATCTGTCGCCGTAACCTGGACATTGAGCGGCCGACCTACACAAACCTCAATCGTTTGATTGGTCAAATCGTGTCGTCCATCACTGCTTCACTGAGATTTGATGGGGCTTTGAATGTGGATCTCACGGAGTTCCAAACCAACTTGGTGCCATACCCACGTATCCACTTCCCTCTGGCTACCTACGCTCCCGTCATTTCTGCAGAAAAGGTTTGTTACTAAAAGCCTACGGTTAAACCCAACTGGGAGCCTTAGTGACTCAATAGTTTTACATCATCATTTTAAAAAGAATGGAGAAAATTGTACTTGTAAATCCTCTGAGAGACATAAGGTTCCAAACTTTACCGGTGAAATTGTGTTGGTTGTGTCTTAAACTTTACTCATTAAGACTAAGACGGAGAAATAAATCAAACCAAACTTTGCAACTGAGATTTCTGAAAATAAACAAAATGTGACCCAATGTTTCTCCCTCCCCTCCCCTCTGTAGTCTTCATACGTATGCTATTATCAGGGATGCCAAATCTCCAGTTTTTCCGGCTTTTCCCGTTTTTTCATACACTTGCAAAGGAAGGGAATGGTAAGAGAAATGTCTTTGTTTGTTCATTTAAAGATTTTACAAGGTTCGTTTTAGGTGAGGTATATTGCTCCGCTCATTTTCAGTTTTTTTTTTTCAAAATCACTTGGCATCCCTGTATTATAATGGAACTTGGTGTATTGTTCAGTCACAGTGGAGTATCTTTAACTGGAATTCAATAATCGTTCAAACAATATTTGTTCTGACTTTAAAGTATTTTTTAATATCGTCAATGAGTGATGACCGCAGCGTTCATTATGTAATTTTCTGAACATTTGGTTTCCATTGAATTTCTCAGGCATACCATGAACAGCTGTCTGTTGGAGAAATTACGAACTCCTGCTTCGAGCCAGCCAATCAGATGGTGAAGTGTGATCCCCGTCATGGCAAGTACATGGCCTGTTGTATGCTGTACCGTGGGGATGTGGTGCCCAAAGATGTCAACGCTGCCATTGCTACCATCAAGACCAAGAGAACTATTCAGTTTGTGGACTGGTGTCCAACTGGCTTCAAGGTATGCTGTCAAATGTTTTTGGAAAAGTTTTGAAGGTGACTGATGTCTGTGTATGAGCAGTTTGGCTCTTTGCAGTGGCAGGAAGAAAGCATGGGATCCAATTCCTGAGTGGGGAAATTTTTTTATATTGTCTCCATGGGCTCGGGTTGGCTTTCTGGTGTCTCGCATGCTGTGTATTGACAATGGTAGGCTACTGTGACTGAGTGAAGAAAGAAAGGAAAGGGGGAGAGTCAGGAACGATGAAACGTTGAAATGGCACAGAATTATTTCCTGTGTTGACCAGGTCTGCTGGGATTTTTCATCATGTTAACTCACTTCAGACGGGTCACACAACAGTTGCGTGACCCCCGCCATGACGCTCGCGTCGGGTCTCACAAGCCCTGCGTGACCAACTTTGGAATTTTTTTTTCGCTCTACAAATCACGCACGGATCGCGAGACCCGCCTCGTACCCTTGTTTGGCCAAGCCTGAGCTACTTAGATTTCGTTTCGTATCTCTGGGGCCGGTAGTTTTTAAGTTATTGAAGGTGAAGGACAGTGACCCCAACTGTGGTTGAACAGACCGGAACTCGCGCTTTGTTTTTTTCTATACAGCTCATAGTAATCCGACAGTCGCGTCGTAGTAACGGTCGAAGAAGTCGCATGAACAAGAATCACATAATTTCGCCGTTTTCTATACTTCTGTACGTTTTACTAGTTCTAGTGTCTCAGAATATGATGTGTCTAATAGTTAGGATCATCCTGGATATGTACCCGAACACGGCCCGAGTCGTAGTTCTAGGGCTAGATCTAGCACTAGTACCGGTGTTGTTTTTCGCGCAACGAAATCACAACGTCGTGCCGTACATCTGTCTCATGTAATTCAGTGTATGGGTCTGAATCAATGCACAGACCAGCTTTTATATTTTCACCAAACACTTGCACATGTATACAAATAAAACCAGAACACTTTGAACTTTTATTTTTGTTGTTGCAGTGAATTTCATTCTACTTGTCACGTCTCTGGAAATTTTTCGAAATTCAAATTCATGCCAATTTTTAAAAAATCATACAAATTAAAGTATTAGACTTAGACAACTTTAGTTTTTTGTATTAGATTAAGCTTGAATGTTACTTTACTGTGTCAAAAAATGATTACAATAGGGTAATTCTGAGAGTTGTGGTGATTTATTGAAATACCCCCCAAAACGCCAGTCTTCAACGCTTGTGGCTGGTGAAAGGGCCCAGTCGCAAGTGAGTTAATTGCAATGCATACAATAAAGAGGGAAAAAATGGGGATTTTCAATTTTCTTGGTATCAGGAAAATCATGTTAAATGGCTTTTGTGTTAAAGTATATTGTACATGCACGAGAGGGTATGGCAGGTGGTTTTAAGGCACCGCTGGTTGGCATTTCTTCTTTTGTATTTTGTCTTTCTTGCTTTTAACCAATACCCAATGACAGCAATTTTGTTGATGTGCTTCTCTTTACTGAAATATATTGAGGATTTGTAGAATGTGTCTGTGCGGTACACTTATTGACTTATTGCTCTTTTGCCTCTCCCTTGACATTAGGTTGGCATCAACTACCAGCCCCCCACTGTGGTCCCCGGAGGTGACCTGGCCAAGGTACAGCGTGCTGTGTGCATGTTGAGCAACACCACGGCCATTGCTGAGGCCTGGGCCAGACTGGACCATAAGTTTGATCTCATGTATGCCAAGAGAGCTTTTGTGCACTGGTGAGTATTTGTTCCACTCTATCCTGTCAATTCAGCGATTCCGCCCTCTAGTGGGCAATTTGGTCATTTTGGAGGGTGGTTGGGCTCCGATAAGGCCCTGTTATTGCCGATAACTTTTAATAGAGACAAAGAGTAGGAGAAAACGGGGATATTAAACATCCCTGTTATTGCCGATAACTTTTAATAGAGACAGAGTAGGAGAAAACGGGGATTTTAAACATCCCTGTTATTACCGGATCCCTGTTATTACCGGGCCTGTTATATATATGGTTTCCACTGTACATACTTTAACAACATTCTGCTGTAACAAGCTGGTTTTGATTAGTAATGGTTTAAACACTCTACTCAAAAGCTCCTCAATATTGTCTCGTCACCTCTTGGTTTTGAGATGTGGGCAGTCCACTTTGGTAGCAGTTATTGAACATTAGGGCATGTTAAGTTTTGTATTTTATGCAAAACGAGTGGTGTTAAGTGTTAAAAAAATTGTTTGGTTTCAGTGTCAATTTTTTAGGAAGTAAGCATTCCCC